AATTAATTGGAATTTTTCACACACAAGCCTTGCTATATGAGCTCTCAAAGCATATAAAAATTATACGGCTTAAATGTGAAGTTGGGTGCAAAAGAATACAATTAAATCCTCTGTCGGGAAAAAACGAAATGACTTTCCGAACAACCCGATATAATGAATTTGTTTTATCGAGATTTTGCTCCAAATATCCTTTCAAAATGTTTGTAAGTTCATTCCTTCGCATTTTCGATCGATTTTGTGAGCAATCGCGATGCCCATCTTGCTAAAAGCTTTTTCACGCGTCAGCTAGTTCGTGCCTTTCAGTTCATGATCTTGCATAACAGCAAACCGAACTTTTTGATTTGTAAAATAATTCTATCCAGTTAGGTACCTACCTAATAGAGCAGAGATTCAGACAATTGTTTACTTTATTTTTATTTCGGGAGGCGTCTTCCTACGCAAAAAGCAACGCTAAGATATGTTATAACGTGACCTTTTCGAGCGCGGAAAAATCTAAAATCTTAAGATATTTATATAATTCTTTGAATGTGTCTTCCAAAATTGTTTATTTAATACGTATATACCTACCGGGTTCGAAAGAATGCCCAACAGCGAAATGTACTTTAGAAAGAAAAAAAGTACATGACGACTTATTTCAGCCAAAAAATAAGTAAAAATAAATTGAATGCTGAATAAAACCAGCTTCCAGATTTCGAATAAGCCTGAAATTAATCGAAATCCTTCAACACATTCTTCCTTCCAAGGCTTTAAAACAAAGCACCTGAAATATGTGGTTTACCTTTGTAAATTTCCTAATGAAAACTGTTCTAAATCTCTGTATTTAGTTTTTTGTAATTTTCAATAGTAACGACGCATTTTCGAGGATCTCGTAAAAACGGATTGTTTTATGTAAAATCTCGAAATGTCTGAACATTATTTAGAACTAAAATTTTTTTTTTGTTTAAAATAAATGTGCCTGCTTGCAATTTACAAGAATCACGCCCTTAACTCAAAATTAAGGAAAATTAGTCTTTAATAACATCTAACGAGACTGGAAAATAATAACTGACTTTTTTACGTTGTCGTTCGTCTTCTTTACTTCATTAACTTTATGTAAAAATGTTATTAAACTTTGTAAAATTTTTTCAAGTAAGTTTGAACTTAGCTTCAGCTTTATTATTTNGGCGAATGACGATGTATCTAAAAGGGTTAAGCGTAAGGGAAGAGGACACACGACCATTCGTTCGCTTAGTCTAAATGCACCTTTACTTATATGATTTTTAAAAGATTTTGGCGTAAGCCAACACATTGTGTCAGTTCATTGGCGTAGAAGTATCGATTGCGGTTTTACCAGTTTCCTCATTCGATCCCCGTTATTACCCTCACCGATATTCGATTAAAAAGGAACACAAGTGCCATTCGCTCAAAAAACAATAAAACTAGCACATAACAATTTCAACACTTTCAAGTAGGAGAGAACGTGTATTTGTTTTTAATGTGTAGTTAGATATACTTATGTAGGTGGATGCGCGCGTGGAAATGTGTAAGTGTTTATGTTTAAACGCCAGTGTACGTACGGACGAGGTGTTCGCATAAAAGTGTTTTGTGTTATCGAGAATATTAAGTCGTCATAAGAACTCACGTTATTATTATTTTATTATTTATTATTATTGTTGATCAGTGTAGAAGCGTTAACAACGGTGATGGTCATAAGGTCATTGAAAATGTTGGAATTTCGGCGTGAGCCTTTCCTTTTCCTTTTACAAATTAGTATAAGTATTTATATTAACACCCGAGATGTATTTTTCCGAACTGCTATAATTTATCGTTTGAATGTCCGATCCGACAGTCAGTAGGTACATTATTCGAAGGATGTAATAATATGTATAGTGTAAAAACCGTTCAGTACAGTCCACAGTTGCGCAAGTTGTTGGCTATTATGACATCCGTTACTGCGTCGAACACAAACTGTATGTTGTGCGTGTCGGTTGCACAGGTCATGTGACAGTAGATCTCTTTTGTCGTCGATTTGTTTTTCGCCTCGAATTGCGCCTGGATGTACGCCGCTGCTTCGCCATACTCTTGAGCCCCTAAATTGCAAGTAGATTTTCTTTTACACTTTCTAATGTCTAGGAAATCGGGGGTTTCCCCATTCAAAATTTCCAAGGAAACACCTAACCTTCTATGAATCTTTGTTATCATTAAAATTGTAATGGATTATGTAGGTGGGTAAGACTTCATACAATAAACTTTTAGCTAAAAGGTTGTTCAGGAAAAAGTAGTGGCTAGTAAGTTAGATGACGATACATTGGAGTAAGTACTACACACTATATGTCTGTAACATCTGCAGACACATTAAAGTGTATCTCGTCATAGTGTGAACCCCAGTTAACGAGTCCTCAGTGATTCAGAACAGTTATCGCGTTATTATGTCGGCTTTCGACGAAACAAACGTACCTATTCGTGACCTTCGCAAACAGCTGATATGTAGACAAGTCAATTGTACGTAACGATTACTAATAATCTGCAGTCGTTAGTGTTCGATTGGCATAGTATTACCCCAAAATACCAAAACTACTTAAATGTGGAAATGTCAAGCAAAAACCAACGTATTCACATGCAGAATATGCGGACATGGTGGTCACATACGGACGATTCAGACATAGTTGTAGGTATATTTTTAAAATAAATAAGTTGAGTTAATATGAAATTTGGAGGATACTCTGTTCCTCAGAGGATATAGAGCTCCAGTAAGCAAGGATTTCTCGAAAATCAACCCCAAGGGGGTTGTTTTTTTTGTGGTAAAAGTTATATATCTACTCGATGCATATGCATTGTTTGGTGAATGTGATACATCGTTATTTTATGTATGAACCTGTGATATGTTTTTGAAACAGCGTGAAAGCGTCACCAAAGAGGAAGACAACTGTTTTAACATCTACCGAAGGTAGGTGATGTTTACTGACAATTTTATTGCTTGTCTGTTGTTTTTTTTTTTTTTAACGTAATGGGCCATTTTGGAAAATGCACGTCATTTAAATTGACAATTTTCGACCGTCATCGTAATTTTGTCACGTCCACATCGCTTTCTGTTCTCCCATTACCATGAGAAATATTACCTGAGATATCCCCTCAAAATTGGATTTTTTTCGAAAGTTATTGCTTCTCACATCTTGCTTTTCGTAAGTTAAATAACATCCCAACTTTATAAAATGACTAACACATTTTCTAAATTTCATGTTCTTCTTTTATTCTCTTACTTAGTTGTTTAAAATTCATTAAAGGAAATCTCACTAAACTTTAGAATAGAAAAATAATTAGTTTTCTAGAATAATTTATTAACTCGTTAATCGTTTCAAACAAAAATAAGTATGACGTAACAAAATTTCACGGAATCGCTGATCAAAGTGTGATTAATTATTTGCTTTTCTTCTAAAAACTCGTTCGGGGCTGAATAGGGAAATATTAAGACATCGTATTTTGACAAAAAGCTAACGATAAGCGTTGATTTTATTGCTATTTGATGACAAACCCGTTCTTAATGGCTCCACGGATCATTCGGAAATTCTACACCATTTTGATGAAAATATCAAAAAGTAATCAATATTCTGCCACTGAGGGTTATTAATAGTACAATACGATTACCTATATTAAAGTGCCCGTTAGTATTAGTAATTTTTTGTGTTCTCTCGGGTTATTTTTATTTATTATGTGCTACCAACGTTAGCGGATATGAAATTAACAACGCAGTTGCTTCCGTCTATTTTTAAAGTGCACACATACCTGCGGGATCCTTGACCACCCAGGTACACCACTGGGTGTTTCTGAAATAAGTAGCAAGCTTTGGAGGATGTTAACTAGATGCAATAGGGAATCGCATGGTGACAAAAACGTTTGTATGAAAGCCAGA